GTATAAATCATTTTAGTTGCCCTCCCCTCTCCCAGCCTCTCTCTTCCCCTCTCCCACCTCCTTTCCCCAGTCTCCCCCAGTTTTGTTCAATAAAGAGAGATTCTATCTTTGAACACACGTGTCCTTTATTTTGTACATCAGAAAGGGGGGCTAGGGAGGGGTAAGTGGAAGGAGGTGAGGGAGGAATGGGGTACGAGCCCCCGATGGGGAGGACTGGGGTGGCTCTGTGGGCTCCTCGAGGTGGAAGTTCTCCTGCAGCCCCCCGATTGTCCCCTCCCCCCGGATGGCAGCCTGTGGCAAGTGCAGCCGGGCTGATGGCCGAGTGCTGTGATGTTCCAAGTGTGGGCACTCAGGGCACTCCAAGCCAGGACTGCTTTGCAAGCGGGGCACCCCTGAGAACTGTCTGTCCGGGGTGGGGGTCGGGTCCCTTTAAGCACAGCCCTCGGCTAGCCTGAGACAGCAGCTCCACACTCTAAATCCTACTCTGATTCCCTGCCGGCACTGCTTCCAGCCATCCTTAACCCCGGTTCAGGGTCCACTCAATGTGGACATGCTAGTTCGAATTAGCAAAATGCTAATTTGAACTAGTTTTTAGGTCTAGATGCGCTAATTCGAATTAGCTTAATTCGAATTAACTAATTCAAACTAAGTTAGTTCGAATTAGCGCTGTAGTGTAGATGTACCCTAACAGAGGATCTTGTGAAGGTCAAGACTATAATAGGATTCAAAAAAGAACTAGATGAGTTTAATGGAGCATAGGTCCCTCAATGGCCATGAGACAGTGTGGGAAGAGAGCCAACACCATATTCTGTATGTCCCTCCCCTTTATTTGCCAGAAGCTGGGAATGGGTTCTGAGATGAATCACTCAATGATTGTCGGTTCTGTTCATTCCCTCTGAAGCACCTGGCATTGGCCACTGTTGGAAGACAGGATACTAGAGCCCAGGAGTTATGTTGAGGGTCTCTCTGTCCCCACAGAGTTAGTAACAAAGAGAGAGAGATCCCAGACTTCAACTTCTACCCCTGCCTTCCTCCTGTCACCTGGTTTATTCACTGGCTTCTCTTGGACTTAGACCTCTCTGTAACGTGATCCTGTCTGTGTCCTTATACCTGACTCTTGGTTTACCCTCTGGTCTGAATTGGATGCTGCCTCTGTGGTAACTTGGCCTGACTCCTTCTCTGACCACTAACTATGACTGTTCACAACTATCTGGGCTAGTGAATCTGCAGGACTGGAAACCTAACTCCTTGACTGTGCATTTAACAGGCACTTTCAAAAATCGGCACTGAGAGCTCTCTATTAAGTTCTAGATTTAACTAGTTACTAAAGGTCGATTTTTAGAAAGAAGAACTGTTCCTAATGCTTGCAAAACATCTGAAACGAGGCTTCCTGTGTGAAGCTCTATGTTTCCCAGTTTTTGAACCAGCAGATAAGGTTAATCATCATACTGGTCACAGGAACAGAGACACAGTTATCATCCACAAGAAGCTTGGTAAATCAGTGAGTATCTCCTCTCTCTGTCGCTCTCTCACTCTCTCTCTCTCTCATTCTCTCTCATATATACACACAATCTAAATGACAAGGTATAATAAGTTATTAAGAATTAATACCAATGATGGTGTAATTAAGCAAGGGATACAGCATTTCAGAACCACTTGAGCTGGAAACCAGATAGAAAACAAGACAGGAATTGAGCTAAATTAAACTAGTTGGGAATAAGGTGCTACCCAAAACCTTCAGGACAAACTGGAGAAGTCTTGTTGAAAAATTTCTGACAAACTTTATATTTTAAAAACAACTCTGGATTTTTATTTTGAAACTGTTTCTGGAAAACATTGATTTGAAGACAGCTGCATCTAAGAACATGAGCACACTAAACATAAAATCCTTAACATCTGATCTAAAGGGTACCAGTTTTATTGCATGACAGGAAATAAGCTTGCAACTCCTGTTGTTAATCGAGACTGACACAAGAAAATCCACATGCACTATGTTGAAGATGTACCAGTCAACATTTTATCACCATGTGGAAAGAGGTTCTCTTCTGCTTAGAGAGACTTAAATGTGGTGGCAGAAAAACTGCACTGGCTCGTGCAGTACAAATACTTGGTATAAGCTTTCATATAATGTGCTATTTTCAATTGCTAATTAGCTGTTGTTGTTAAACAGAATATAGGAGTGGTTCTCACCTTTTCTGATACTGAGATCCCCCTTTCCTATTTAGCAAAACAGGAAGAGTGGGGTGGTCATGACCTTCTGACATCTGGCTGTGAACCCCGGACTAGAGAAGTTCTGGGATCAAGTATTATTCTGCTTTTTGTATATATCATCCCATTGTGGCAGGTTTGTGACTGCAGGAATTATCGAATTCTCTGTCTGAATTGCTTCCAGTCTGATTTTCTTTGAACCAGTTATATGGGAGGAAGTAGAGTCAAGTAATTAAAGCACGGGACTGGCTGCTGGAGTGCTGAGTCCTGTCATCACCTCTGTCGTATTCTTGCTTGGTGACCTTGAAGAATTCACTTAATTGCTTTGTGCTCCAATTTCTCTGACTCACTGTGCTACAGTAGAACCTCAGAGTTCCAAACACCCGAGTCAACCCCACACCTCATTTGGAACTGGAAGTAGCAGCAAAGTTTTAAAAAAAAAGCAGCAAATACAGCACAGTTCTGTGTTAAACATGAGCTACTAAAAAGGAAAGTTTAAAAAGATTTGACAAGGTAAGGAAACGGTTTCTGATCTTGGTTTGTTTAATTAAGACAGTTAAAAGCAGCGTTCTTCTTCCTCTTCTTCATAGTAAAGTTTCAAAGCTGTATGAAGTCAATGTTCAGATGTAAACTTTTGAAAGAACAGCCATTACGTTTTGTTCAGAGTTACGAACATTTCAGTTATGAACTAGCTCCATTCTTGACATGTTCATAACGCTGAGGTTCTACTGACGTGAACTTTCATCAACGTTTGTACAGTGCTTCCACAGGCATTCTACTACAAAGGAGGAAATAGGGTATATGTCTTTTGCTGGATATGTATATGTGTAAATAGGACACTTTGCTGCCAAAACAATACATTTTTGAAAGATGGGTTTCAGATAGCATTTCAGCTGTGTGTGAAATTAATGCTGCGAGGCCTTGCTATACTGAGAATTAATGGTCCACTTTTTAAAATGGGAAGCAACAATGTAAGGAAAAGCATGATTTTTTTTCTTATGAGCCTTTAAACCAACAATTTGTATTTAACAGCAAAAACGGGTCAGAAACTTGCAATTTTTGCTTTTAGTGAGGAATATAAAGCATCTGGGTCTGGGACTCCCCAAAGGGCAAAGACAGGTTTCATCCAGGTAGGGCCACACCTATACTTTTCCTGGCAAATGTGCTTATACCTAGAAAGCAGAGTAGTAATTTCAGCCTGCTCTGAACAGAAAGCAGTTCATACTTACTCCATTTCCTTTGGTTTTATTGGCATTACACTCCCCTCAAAAATATTGTTGTCTGCTGCACTATGACTTTAGAAAGCCACATCAGATCAATTTCAAAACGTCAGGGAATGTTCAAGGCTTCAATGGCCAGAGCCCTATTAGTTGGCAAGAATGGAGGGCAGGCAGACCCTGTAGCATGGGAGTGAAGGATATATTTAAATAAAGGAGAATTAGGGGGCACAAAATCCTTGGTGGGGGGGGGGTGGATAGGAGGGTCTTGTCTGGGAAAGGGAGCATGGCACACAGAAGCCCTGGTAGGTGGGAAGGTGTGAATGGGAGGAAAGGGAGTTTGGCAAGCACATAGAACCCCTGGCAGAGGGAAATTTGTGGTGCTGTAGTGAGTCCTTGAAATGGAGGCGGATTGGCCAGGGCAGTCACCCTGGTCCCAACATTCAAGGATGCCAACTCAACAAGATATTTGTGTGAAGACACGTGTGCTTCATGGAGAGGCCCTGAACCTATTTATCTCCCTGCGCAACAAAATACTGCCAGTCCTGTAGATGGGAGGATGGCACACAAAGAATTTCTGGACAGGGAACAGAGGGATGGGAGAAGCCCTTGATAGATGCAATTTACTTAGCCCATGCAAGCTGCAAAGTGCGCAACTCTCTAGTTGGTAATGTAAATGGAGTAAGAGAAAGGATAAATCCTTGCTTTCTCTACAAGGTTGCCTGGTCCTACGGTTTCCCTGCAGAGACTGACAGTGTTCCTTCTGCTCAGAGAGTCACTCCCTTAAATCCAGGGCAGAGGTAATGAGCCATGCCCGTTGGGACCACTATCTCTCTTCCAACGCCTGCAAAGAGGGTAGTTTAATATTTGATTTCATTTAGATATGGGGCGTACACAAACCCCACGCAAAAAGGCATCCGTGCAACACTCTAGCTGCTCTTGGCAGACTTAAATTCAACAATATTTAAGAGTTGCTAAAAGTAAACTCTTCCTCTTCCCTCCAATCTCATCCAAATTATCAGTCACGTGAACATTACAGTTTAAATCCAAGAACCATAACACCTGTTTAAGGGGGACGGGCTCCAATAGTTTTACCAGCTTATCCATTGGAAAGGGGAAGCCTTGTGTTTGGAGTCTGAAAAGGGAAGGAAAACTTGGTGGGGGGGTGTTTTGTTCCATGATGCACTTGTACTACTATGGCTCTGTTCTCTAGCAATTATGCAACATTCATTCTCACTGATTACTATGAGACGGTTTTGACCAAATTGCCCTTGGGAGTTTATATCAACGTAGTTCCAAATGCAGCATGCTCCTTGAGCAATAATTTGAGATTTCATAACCAAATGAGTCAGGGCTGCAATTCTGAGTCCCTCTTACTTGAAGTGTCCCTAAATGCACAACTTGGAAAATATCTTCTAGTCATACAATACTATACTAAACCAAACAGACAGCGTGACTGTTAATTTTTCTATATTCAGTGTATGTCAAAATTTGAAAGAGAAACTGTGATCTTCTTGTTACCAATTAAGCTTATAAATCACTTTCAATCTTTGGAAACAGATGAATGTCCTACAGTAATAAGAGATAGGTTTGGAAAGAAATTGATGGATTGTACTATTTCTTCTAGAGCCATCCTCAAAAAAATATTCCCAGACACTACCAAAGCTCTACAGTAAAACTCATTCACAGTAACTTCATTGTTGAAATTGATATCTAGTAGAGACAAGATACTAGAATTCAGAATAAATGAAAACGTTTATGGTTATGATGTGACCTTCTAATTGAAGCATCTCAGTGAAAGTGAATAAAGGAAGTGTGAAGCACATGTTCTGCTTTCTTTTAACAGCAAGCTCAAAATAATTTATAAAATAATGTGCACAAGAAACTCTTTTACCTGACAGAGGTGTTCCTTTTGAAGAGTTTACTGAAAATGAAGCATGCAAAATTAATACATTTACTGACAAGAATGAGTTACGTGAAGAATTTTGTACAATCAGAAGTCATTTTGTCTGCTGAAGTTCTAGACTGAACAAGCACTGCAAAGAAATACTTTGATTTTCAAGATAGATAACAAATTCAGTGGGAAGCAGAAACTTAAAGAATTTGAAAAAAATATGATCTTACATATTTTGTTTTAGGTACTAAAGCATACACTGAAAAAGTATTTTTGTTAATTAATTCCACATGACAAGTTGATAGAGTGAATACTTTAATTAGACTGAAGCCTAAACCATCTAATCACCGACCACGTGTACAGACAGGCTAGAGCAGTGGTCTCCAACCTTTTTAACTACAGGCAGTCCCTGAGTTACGCGGATCTGACTTATGTCGGATCCGCAGTTACAAACGGGGCCGTTCCTCTCCCTGGTCTCCAACAGACCAGGGAGAGGAAGCAAAGCGGTGGAACACGTGGGCAGCGGACAGGGCTGTCCGCTGCCCACGCGCTCCGCGGCTTGGCTCTGCTTTGCTCTGCTTTGCCTCCCCCCCCGTCCCCCTGG